TTCTTTGTTTGTACTTGTCTTCTGCAGCCACTTCCTAACTATATAACACTCCAGCGATGGCTGCATGGCATTTCTCAGGCCAGATTTCCTGATGGTGCAAGAAGAGGACCATGCCTGCATTCTGTGTGCTGAAATGACCACTTGTAGTCTCTATGAAAAACCCACATGACAGGCTGATAATGCAGGAGAACAGGGACAGAGTTCTGTAACACTATAACAGGAAATGCTCAGTAAGGATCCACATGCCAGGGATCAACAAGTATTATTTTAATTAAAGTTGCACATTTAGAAAAATTAAAAATGATTTTTCTAATTGCTTACCAAGTGGCAGTGCTATCTAAACCACCTTTACACAGCCTGTGCGATCTCCCCTGGGTCTCTCTCGCCCAAGGGCGGACTGACAACTCATGGGGCCCCCGGCAAAAGGGGATCATGGGGCCCTTGTGTCCTTGCCCAAACTCAAAAAAGCCTATGAAAAATTACCAGGGGCATCTCATGGGGCCCCCTACTCACCTCGGGCCCTCGGGCAGTGCCCGAGTTTCCAAATGGTCAGTCCGCCTCTGCTCTCGCCCCCCCACAGCTGCTACTACTGTTCTCTTCCTCACAGCAGAGCATAGGGCGGGGGGTGCAGTAGATCTGAACAGAAGGCAGAACTTGCAAAACACACACAGGAGGGTGCAAACGCCTAGCGCAGTACAACCATAGACTTTTATTAAATCCAACACAGTTATAAACTCACAAATACATAAAACCAGGCGTGTCAAACAACAACTCCATCCGTAGGTGACATCATCCATTCATGTATCACTCGTTTGGAAGGCTAACACGTTTCAGGGGTTGAACTCCCTTCCTCAGAGTTAACCCAAGAGCATGTAACACCACAAATAAAATAATCACATATTGGGAGAAACCCTCATCCTTAACAAGCCCATGGGTGGGACTAGTGATGCTTAAACCAGATCTTCATCATTATTCACAGAAAGAGAGTGTGTCATGTTTAGGCATCACTAAAACTGCCCATGAGTTTGTTAAATAGGAGGGTTGCTGTCAGGAAGGGCATACCAGCAGACATGGGTGGTTCTTCTGGATGGCATTCTGTGCACAGGCTAATGCAGGCCATAGATGGGGAGAAAACCGGTGTTTTTTTTTTTTTTAAAAACTAAAAATCGGTTTGTTCAATAGGCCGACGTTACCACCAACAGTAAAAAAAAAAATTGGCCGATTTTCTTCCCGTCTACGGCCGGCATTTAATTACTTCTGTCCCTGCACAGAGCCCCGCTATTATATTTGACATTAAAAAGTATTGTGGTTGCAACATTGTATCTATTTGTATCCATTTTGGATACAGATGGGGATACAAATAGATACATTGTTGCAACCGCAATACTTTTTCATGTCAAATATAATAGCGGACTGGAATTCTACTTCTTTCTCTTCTTCTTCTTCTTCCTCTTCTTCTTCTTCTTTTTATTTTTTTTTTTTTCTTCTTTTTCTTGCAGGTTACGGCTCATGCGCAGATTTTTTATCGGTAAAAAGATCGGCCGATTTGCCCATCATTGCCGCGAAAATCGGCCGATCGGCAAAGTCGGCCGATTTTTTTCCAACTTTACCGATCAAAAAAATCTGACAAACTCCAGAAAAACGGGCGTCCAATTAACCCATTAATGGTGTGAAATCGGCCGATTTTTTTTTTTCGGTCGAAAAATCGGCCGATTTGCGACCCATCTATGGCCTGCATAAGTCATGGTCCTTCACATGCACTTAGAAAAGGTGCACTTGCTCATGCACGCACGTGCACACATTGACGCCAAATTTATCACAGGTACTTTTATCACAGGTACTTATAGAGCGCTGTCAATTTACGCAGCGCTTTACATATATATTGTACATTCACATCAGTCCCTAACCCTCAAGGGACGTACAATCTAAGGTCCCTAACTCACATTCATACTTACACATACTAGGGCCAATTTAGACAGGAGCCAATGGGCTATTTAAACGGAGCCTGTACTATGCTTCAGTGCTGTCTTGTCTACAGCGTTCCCATGCATATCTGCAAACTGTTACTCTGCATCTGACTACTGTTACCGCCCATATGGAAGAAAAATATATTTTAAAAATATTCTTCTGAAATATATTGACATATATTTGAAATACTACAATTTTGTCCATTTTCAAAAAATGTTAAAAAAAATTATATATATACACACACGCACACACACTGTATGTTGAGAATGCGTTTTTAGTACAGAATATATGAAAAATATTTTTAAAAATACATTTTCAAATATACTTTATGTCTTTAAAAATACAAATCTACATTTTTGGAATGCATTTACAAATATATATAAAAATATATGTTAAAATTACTTTTTTATATGTTAAAAAAATCTGAAGAATATATTTAAAAAATATATATTTTAAAAAATGTTTTTCATATATTATGTAATATATAAAAACACATTTCAACATGCAGTATATATATATATATATATATATATATATATATATATATATAAAAAATATATATATATATATATATATATATTTATTTTTATTTATTTTTTAATATGGCCAAAATCGTAGTGTTTCAAATATATGTCAATATATTTGGGAAGAATATTTTTTAAATATATTTCAAATATATTTTTTTCCATGTGGGCAACTCGGCTTATCTTGACCACGCCACTTCTCTTCTGCCTGTGGCCCTTCCTTCTGCTCCACTGATCTGTTACTGGCTCGGCCTGAATCCTGACTTCTCTCCTGCCTATGCATTTGCACCTGATCTGTCTGCCCATAAATGATCTGGTTTGTCTGCCTCTGTTCCAAACACTGCTGGACTGCTTGCTGCGAACATCTGCCTACAATCCACTGGTGCCTCCTTACTGCCTGTTTACTATCAGCCCGTGCCCATCTGCTGTCTCCAGTGCCAGTTTGCTCTTTCCTCTTGCTGGTGTCCATCTGGCACTCTCTCTGCTCTGTTGTGGTCCACTGAAGGTCTTCCTCTGCTTGATCTGGATATACTGTCCAGCCCTGCTGCTAGCAAGATCAATAGGCACTCATGCCAGTTCCGTGCCACCTGTCCCCTCTATCAGGGGCCCCGAGTCAAGTGTAAGAGAGGCCTTCCTCATCATGTCAGGCTCTACTACTAGGTACATGACAGTGGCTGTGATGTAAAGTGGGGGTCTTTGATGTAAAGAACTGTGATGTAAAGTGGGGAGAAAAGATGTGAAGAAAAGATGTGGTGTAAAGGGTGGTTTGCGGTGTGAAGGGGGACTGGACTGTGATTTAATGTGGAACTAAACCCTCCTATTCTTTTCAGTCAAGGAAGCTGCCATTTTAGTCGCTGATCTTCACCTGCCATGGTGCTGTACATGCGATCAGTTATGAAAAGCCATTTGATGGATTGACAATTTGGTTGAGAGCACAAACAAATGTGATAGTTAGAAACCATTAAATTGTTGGGTTTAGTTCCGCTTTAAGGAGGGGGGGTGATGTTATGAGGGACTGTGATGTAAAGAAGGGGGGCTGTGATGTAAAAAGAGGACTATCATGTGAAGGGGGGGGCGCTGTGATGTGAAGGGTGTCTGAGTTGTGAGGAGGAACTGTGATATAAAGGAGGGGGGGGGGGTACCAATGTTATGGGGACTGTGATGTAGAGTGGGGGGCTGTGATGTATCAAGTGGACTGTCATGTGAAGGGAGGTTGTGATGTAAAAGGGGGGACTATGTTGTAATAGAAGGGCTCTGTGATGTGAAAGGGATTATTATGTAAGCATAAGGCTGTGATGTAAAGGGGGGACTTTGATGCAAAGAGGGAAACTGTGATGTGAAGGGGGCTGTGATGCAAGGAGGAGGGGACTATCATGTGAAGGGTGGCTCTGATGTAAACAGGGAACTGTGATGTGAAGGCTGGCTGTGATGTAAAGGAGCGCGGGATTGTGACATGAAGAGGAACTGTGATATAAAGTGGGTTTGCAATGTGAAGGGGATCAAGATATAAAGGGGAGGGGGATGTTGTTAAGTTATGGGGAGGGAAAACTATGTTGTAAAGGTGGGTTTGCAATGTGAAAGGGACTGGGATGTAAAGGGGTATATGGAGGGGGGTGTATGTGATGTTATGGGGGACTGTGAAGTAAAGGAGGGGGTGATGATGTAAAGATCAGGTGGTGTAAGTAGGGGACTGTCATGGGAAGAGGGGCTGGTTACTGTTATGTTAAAGGGGGGCTGTGTTGTAATGGAGGGGGACTATAATGTAAGGAGGGAGCTGTGATGTTATGGGGGACTGTGAAGGAAAGGAAGGAAATTGTGATGTGAAGGGGGGCTGTGATGTAACAAGGGGAATAAAGAAGGGTTGTGATGTAATGGGGGACTTTAATGAAAGGAAACTGTGATGTGAAAGGGAGGGAGGGGGGGTGTTATGTAAAGAAAGGGGGCTGTGATGTAAGGAGAGGACTGTCATGCGATGATGTAAAAGGTGGGACTTTAATGTAATGGAGGGGATCTTTGATGTGAAGGGAGCTGTGATCCAAGGGGGAGGGGGCCTGTGATTTAAAGGAGGGGGGCTGTGAGGAAAAGGGGTGTCTGTGATATGAAATGGATCTGTGATGTTTGGGGGAGCGTGCTATGATGTAAAGATTCATTGCACAAATATGAGATTCAAACCTCTGCTGGAAGAAGATTTTACCGAGCAGACCTCCATGAGTTTTAATGAATAATACCCCTATACTACATAGGACTGGGGTTACAAATACTTTAAGAACGCTGTACTGTGTTATGCACTGATTTAAAGAGCTTACTGGTTCCTTTAGGCCCCCCTCACTGCACACTGGTTCCTATAATCTTCTAGATTGTAAGCTCTAATGAGCAGGGCCCTCTGTTGTACCAAATTGTATTGTAACTGTAATGTCTACCTTCATATTGTAAAGAGCTGCGCAAACTGTTATATAAATCCTGTATAATAATAATAATATTACCCAATATAGGACTGTGAGTAATCAGGGGGGGGACTGACCATTTGGACACTCGGGCACTGCCCGAGGGCCCGGGGTCAGTAGGGGGCCCCATGAGATGCCCCTGGTACCTTTTTCATAGGCTTTTTTGAGTTTGGGCAAGGACATAGGGGCCCCATGATCCTCTATTGCCCAGGGGCCACATGAGTTGTCAGTCCGCCCCTGTGAGTAATGTCATTTATTTATTAGACACTGACACTTTTCCTTCTGATGCAACATTCACATCAGTTCCAGACACACAAAGGATCTGAAAATCAGCTGACTTCGGCATTTTGGGACATCAGGCTACTTGAAGGTCAGGCAAAATGAGGAGCGCCCCAAAGATTAAAGTGCCCGTATCACTTAAACATTTTACGTCTCTAGAATTTCTTAAGTCATTAAAGGATCGTTCCCTTTTATTAAGAGAAGGCAAAAATATTTCTTCACTGTATTCATTCTAAAATAGTTGATAAAGTTTCCCCAGGTTGAGTGATCATGACAAGGATGAGAAGATCTCTCAGTTCCCATTCTAATCTATGACAGATCTTGTCTTTTCTTCTCATTCTCCCAGTTGTCTTTGCGTAGATCTGTATCAGCTGCTGAAGATCTCTTCTCAACACATTAGATGGCAATGTTGCAGTAAAGCACCAAATGTGTGTACACAATTGCCTGCCTTTGTTTATAATAAATCATCTTCTGTAACATGATTGTAGAGATTGCCAGCAGCATATTCTTCAGAAGCAATGCCCAATTCTCTTCAGCTAGCTCCTGTCTTGTACTGCCATTCACAGGCTCCATTGTAGGGGGGATCCTTGTTAGGACTCCTGGATTAACACATTAAAGGCTTGCCTACTGAGATTTAGACAAGTGTTTCATAAACTGTCAAGCAAAATGACCAAAACACAGATTTTAGTCAAATTATTGGGATGACTTAATGAAATACCATGTGCAAGGGAAATCCTGCAAAGCATATGGCCATAAATAAATGTCTAACAGTGCATGTCACACCGAACAACCAATTCTGTGACAGCGCTGACCCTGTCTGAAAAGAAAAAAAAAAAACTCTGATCCGCTCACTCTGTGTTTTGTCTATTCAGCCGGATCTCCTAATCCTTAGCCAGAGACCAACTGTTGCCATAGATAAAAACCAAGCATGTATTCATGAATGCCCCTTGACCTTCACCAAGGCGGTTTGGCGTTCTTTTTTTTTTTTTTTTGTATTTAACCTGGAAAGCGTGCACCACTAGGGGAATATGAATTTCATATTAAGGGCCATCAAAAATATAATTAAAGCTGAATTCCAGGAAAGCTAAAAATTCCCTCTTGCAGTGAGACTGCACCTACAGAACAAGGGTTAACTGTTTGTATACATCTAGGGGACTTGGTAAAGCACTTTTACTTACCTGATTCTCTGCTACTGCAGGCTGCATCCTCACTGCTAGATTGATCCGCATAAACCTCTTCTCCATCATGCTCCAGCAGTTTAAGATCCTCTGATGTCATCAAGACCACTGCCGGGACCATAGTCAATCAATTGACATGGGGACAGTGCGGTCATGGAGCATGGGGGAGTGCCATGTGCTGGGAGTGGAGAGCCAGAATGATAGGGGATCAAATACTTATTTCCCCCATGAACATGCAAATCAGTGCATAATTTGTTAGGCATTTATTTCTTTTCAATTCTGTCTATTGAATTATGTTGCTATTCTGTCTCTCAGTGTTACAATACACCTAACATTCGATTTTTAGACTGATCATTTCCTTGTGAGTGGGCAAACATTCAAAATCAGCAGGGGATCAAATACTTATTTCCTTTACTGTAGGTATATAGTGTCGACAATTTACACAGTGTTTTACATATTGTACGTTCACATCAGTTCCTCCCTTTAAGGAATTTACAATCTAAGGCCCCTCACATATAGAACATATTATGTGACTGCGCTCTACCCAAAAACCATTAAATATTGGTGAATTCCTATAAAATAAATAAAGACCTGCAATCATAGATACATAAAAATACAAATATTCCATAAGGTTCGGTACCAAATTCATCTAAAATTGTTGTGCTGAAAAAAAGAATCTTATTCAATCCATTTGTACAACATATAAATCTCATCAAAAATGTAAAACTTTTTAGTTCTTACTAAAAATTCATCAAATTGTAGTCAATAATAATAACTCCTATGGAACAAAAGTCCTCCAAAACAGTATCCTTATGCAAGTAAAGTATCTTTATGCAGAAAAAATGTCTCTTATGCCACAAAAGCCCTAGGCAATAAAGTGCCTTAGTGCTAGTAAAGTGTCCAAATAAAATATAAAAATGAATGTGTTTGTTTTTTTATGTAATAAAAGTTGCACAGTGCTAAAACCAAAGTACAGCACACAGTGCAGTAAACAAACTTTTTCATTGTCCTTCATACACCATGTGTCCTCCACCAGCAAACTGTTGAATATATACAAATATATACCCATATGGAAGAAAAATATATTTAAAAAATATTCTTCCAAAATATATTGACATGTATTTGAAATGCTACAATTTTGGCCATATTCAATATATTAAAAAAAAAAATTATATATATATATATATATATATATATATATATATATATAAATATATACACATATACACACTGCACGTTGAAATGCATTTTTATTACAAAATATATGAAAAATATTTTTGAAAATACATTTCAAATATACTGCATTTTTGGAATGCATTTACAGATATATGTAAAAATATATGTCATAATTACTTTTTTATATGTTAAAAAAATCAGAAGAATGTATTTAAAAAAATACATTTTTAAAAATATTTTTCATGTTATATACAAAATGAATTTCAACATGCAAAATATATATATATATATATATATATTGAAATATATTTTGAAATATGTTGAATATGGTCAAAATTGTAGCATTTCAAATATTTGTCAATATATTTGGGAAGAATATTTTTAAAGTATATTTAAAATATATTTTTCTTCCATGTGGGTAGAAGTGAGTATAACTCAGTCTCCACTTATAACCGATTCAGGGCTTCACTGTTTGATGCAAACTCCAAAGAGAAAAAAACACGTCCAAATTTGTTTTTTATTCCCAACACTTGTAGCTTCAAAAATCCTCTCATAGGCCCTCTATCTCACATACTAGGGCTGATTTAGACATTTATTTATTTATTTATTTATTTCAGGCACTTATATAGCACTGTCAATTTACACAGCACTTTACATATATATATTGTACATTCACATCAGTCCCTAACCCTCAAGGGATGTACAATCTAAGGTCTCTAACCTACATTATTACATACACATACTAGGGCCAATTGAGAGAGGAGTCACTATATATCTCGTCAACATCTGATGAAATACATTATGTTCAGTGGTCACTCCAGCGCTCAATCATTTTGCGTTTCACTTTTACATATTGTCTCTTTTATCATTTAACCACCTCCCGTCCGCCATATAGTAAAATGACGGGCGCAAGGCGGTTCTCTCGTTCTGGGAGGATGTCATATGATGTCCTCCCATTCTAACCGCGCATGCACGGCTCCGGGATTGCACAGCGCGGCAATCGGCAGTGCGCTGTGTCCCTCGGACACAGCAGATCACCGATCAACGGAAAGAGCGAAGATGTCAGTTCGGTCATGTGATCAGCTGTGTCCAATCACAGCTGATCGCATGTAAACAGGGAAATGCCGGTTATCAGCATTTCTCTCCCCACCAGCTGTCACGCTGACAGCTCGTGAGGAGAGGAGAGCCGGTAATTGGCATTTTGCGGAGGGGACATGTACACAGATCATCAGAGCACTGATGATCAGTGTGCCCTGATGATCTGTGTAGCCCCAGCAGTGCCACCTGTCAGTGTCCATCAGTGCCAGCTCTCAGTGCTCATCCATGCCACCTGCCAGTGCCCAGCAGTGCCACTTCAATGCCACATATCAGTGCCCATCTGAGCTGCCTTTCAGTGTCACCCATCAGTGCCAGTCAGTGCCACCTATCAATGCCAGTCAGTGCCACCTATTAGTGCTGCCAATCAGTACCACCTATCAGTGCCAGTCAGTGCCGCCTATCAGTATGCATCAGTGCCGCCTATCAATGCCCATCAGTGCTGCCTATCAGTGCCGCCTAACAGTGCCAGTCAGTGCCGCCTATCAGTGCCAGTCAGTGCCGCCTATCAGTGCCTCCTCATCAGTGCCCATCAGTGCCACCTATCAGTGGTCATCAATGCAGCCTATCAGTGTCCATCAGTGCAGCCTATCAGTGCCCATCAGTGCAGCCTCATTAGCGCACATCAGTGAAGGAAAAAAATCACTTATTTACAAAATTTTATAACAAAAACTAAGAAAAAACTTTTTTTTTTTCAAAATTTTCAGTGGTTTTTGGTTTAAGAAAAAAATTTAAAATCCAGAGGTGATTAAATACCACCAAAATAAAGCTCTACCTGTCACAAAAAAATGATAAAAATTTCATATGGGTACAGTGTTGCATGACCGCGCAACTGTCACTCAAAGTACAACAGCACTGAAAGCTGGAAATTGGCCTGGGCAGGAAGGGGGTATAAGTGCCCTGTAGGCTAGTGGTTAAGCGCTGCATTATTTATTTATTTTAGTTACATTTGAGGATATAGGGGTTCATCCTTTGAGGCTAGCTGTTTGAAATAATCGTGCACTCACTTGCTACCTATCTTTTTCCACCATTACTAGTATAAAAAAAAAATTCCAGTATATATACCACCATTTGTAGTTGCTATAACTTTTGCACAAACCAATCAATATACCCTTCTTGGGGTTTTTTTTACCAAAAATACGTAGCAGAATGCATTTTGGCCTAAATTTATGAATACATTTTATTTTTAAAATGTTTTTTATTGGATATGTTTTATAGCAGAAAGTAAAACATATTGTTTTTCTATTAGAAAATATCAGCTTTTTTTGTTTATAGCGCAAAAAAAAAAAACCCAGACGTGAGCAAATACCACTAAAATAAAGCTGTATTTGTGGGAAAAAAATGACATAGAATTTCATTTATGTACAACTGTGCAATTGTCAGTTAAAGTAATGCAGCTCCATATAGCAAAAAGTGACCTGCTCATGAATGGGAGTAAATCTTCTGGAGGTCAAGTGGCCAAACTAAAAGGGTTGTTTTACAAGATAAGGGGTCAAATATACTCTGATGCTGCAGCATGCAAAAACATTTTAGACAATTGTATGGTTACAACCTTTTCTGTTGCAGCATTACTGTGCCCCCAAGCTCTAAGTCAGCTCTATGCAGACATGGTTTGATTAGCTTGGTGCATTTTTGGGAAGGGTTAGTGAGTTTTTTAAACGCAAAACACTGTATTTTTGGTTCAATAGAGTTCAATGGAGGCATTGCAGAAAATGCATTTAGTGCGTTTTTTGATGAGTTTTCCCGCGTTTTTTTATGCATTTTGTGTTTTTAATCTGCCCAGCAACAAGTTGGACAAAAAACAGGAAATTAAAAAAAACAAAAAAGCATTACAAAAAGCGTAAAAAAATGCAAAATGCTCTACAAAAAGCACTGCAAAATGGTCAAAACGCAAACTTCATTGGTGTGAACCAGGCCTGAAATGCATTGAAAATGCATCAAAGACACATCAAAAACACACACGTGCTGCATTTTGCGTTTTTACTCTGCCCAGCAACAAGTTGGCCACAAAAGAATTAAAAAAACGTAAAACGAATCAAAAATTCATAAAAAATGTGCATGCAAAAATGTGCATGCAAAAACACAAAATGGAAAACTGTATTGGTGTGAACCAGGCCTGAAATGCATTGGAAACGCATCAAAAACACAAAAAATGCATGCGTTGCATTTTTGATGCATTTTGTGTTTTTTAATCTGCCCAGCAACAAGCTGGCTAAAAAAAACATTAAAAATATGCATTAAAATAATGTAAAAAATGTGCATGCAAAAACACAAAACACACTGCAAAATGGACAAAACGCAGACTGCATTTTTGTGAACCAAGCCTGAAATGCATTGAAAACCCATCAAAAACACACATGTGTTGTGTTTTGATGTTTTTGAGTCACATGACCTATGAATAAATCACCCAAAACGCGACAAAATTGTGGGTAAAATTGCAGGTTTTTGGCAGCCATTATTGGCACCTTTTTTTCTATCAGCAAATACATTACGGCTGCCAGTATTTTGGTGTATCCCTACTGCATACAACATGTGTATGCATGTACATGTTACCAGTTTACCTACTGTAGTTAGTCAGGCTGAAAAAAGACACTAGTCCATCTAGTTCAACCAGTAATATAAAAAATAAAAAAAAACACAAACAGAAAAATCTCCTATTATACAATCCTATAACCCACAGCTGATCCAGAGGAAGGCAAAAACCCCAATAAAAAACATGATCCAATTCACTCCAGTGGGGGGGAAAAAATCCTTCCTGATCCCCTATATTGCAATCGGATATTCCCTGGATCAACTACCCCTGGAGTTACCTCTAAAAATTAATATCCAGTTACAGTAGGCGCAATTCACAAAATGTTATCCACATGAATTCACAAAATGTTATCCACATGAATTCACAAAATGTTATCTACATCAATTCACAAAATGTTATCTATGCAGTAAAATAGCTCATAGTGTTTTTCAAAGATTATTTTTGTGCTTCACCAAAAAACAAAAATTTTGCATGCGTTATTTCTAGAAGTGATGTCGTATTTTAGCAGTGAAAACTTTGCACTGTTAACGCCGGCGTCCTTAACTACCAGGGAGTAGCTGCTTATTAAGGAGCCAGCACCTGTCGGCGTCCTTAACAACCATTGAATAGCTGACTGTTAAGGAGCCGGCACCCACCGCAACCTTAACAACTATAGCTCACTGCTGTCAGTGGAATGACAGTTCTGCCTCCCACCCACTGATAAACAAAGGGGTGGGGTTTAGTTGTGCTTGTTCTATTGAGGTGGTTCTCCTTGGGAGATAAGGGTTAATATTGCTGGTCAGGTTTTCCTAAGCTTTTTGGGGAAGTGACTCCATCTGTTGGAGAAAACACATACAAAGGGAGGGAGGCACCTCTCAGGGGTTCCAGGTCTTCCCAAGTGAAGGACATGCTGATAAAGATATGTTCCTCTACTTGCACTTGACTACCCCTTGTGAGAGCCCAGTCAGGGTTCCAGGGGTAAGGACTCCCTGTAATAAAGGAATGACTACCTCATGGGGTAATCAGGGGCACTAGTGGACTAACTAAGGGGCACTTAGAAGAATATGTACAGGAATGTGTGTAGAAGACATCATCATTGAACTGTTCATATGTTGCTCTTAACAACTTCAGTAAAGAATGTTTATTGTTATGCAACTTAGCCTGGTTAGAAGTTACTTTAGAACAACCTTAAAGGGGTGCATGCATACATGGAATATCACAAGAACAGGGCCTATTAGGGAACAAGAAGATGCAGTACAATTGTGTAATGTGCAGTGAAGCTAATCGGAGAAGGCTATATTGTCGTAGCTAATGACTACAGTACTAGTGTCAAGTGCATAAGCAGTCAGCCAGTCAGTCAGGAAGCGGTGACTTGGCAGAGGTGGTGGAACACCCTGGTAGTGAAGGAGCTTGTGTGCTTAGGCTTCATTTCTAGTGATTAGAACCCCAATACTGGGTCCAATTTGCAACACGGGGCATCCTAGGAACCCAGCCTGGAAGTTATGGAAGATGGAAAAAATCCTCAGGAGATAATAAGCATGATACTGTAAAGCTTCCTGGTATTCAAATGTAATATACAGATCAATGTCACTGAGAGTGAGGTGACAGTTAATTGGGTTGGTGGAGTCTGGTACAGGCTCAGCTATCACGCACCTGGTGATGGAGGCCAATGGAGAGAGGGCACCCTTGCAGCTAAGTTCCAGACACTCCTGAGAGTGGGGCAGCGGGAGTCAGGCCCAAAGTGGCACAGGTCACCTGTAGGAGTGCTGGTTGGTGGTCCACCCAGAAGCACAGCTGATGTACAGAGATAGGTCTGCAGACAGGTGCTGCCTGTGTGAGGTATGCAAGCCCTTCCGGGATTTAGAGATTTACTGGATCGATTTACTAGAGGAGCGAGAGAGAGAGTATCCGTAAGCCAAGCCGAGGTTAGATCAGGGGTTAAGCAGAGTAGACAGGTCCAAGAGCAAGCCGAGCCGGTATCAGGAAATCACAGGTCACAGGAACCAGGAACAAGGCACGGGGAGCTAGAGATCATCCAGCAACTTGAGGAAGTGATGAGCCTCCTTATAAAGGCCGTCTGGCACCAAACTGAGGCTGATGTGTGCTTCTGTGGCCATGCAGGGTACTGGCAGAAATGCCAGATCTTCCAGAACTTCTGCCATGGACAGGATTCTGACCAACTCAAAAATGTTGCTCAGCTAAAGTTAGAGAAGTTATGAAGTGTAACAAGGAACTGATGTCTATAGCAAACAATGTGAGGTGTTACAGAATTTGGGTCACAGATTAATTGTGTTCTTTGGAGAAGCATCACTTTTATGTTGAAGTGCTGCCTTAACCCCAGCCTTGTGTTAAATGGCAGTCTCAGCCCGCCTTTGGGGGCACTAGCGAATGCCAGTTTTTAGCTTTCAGCACTGTCGCACTTTGAATGACAATTGTGCGGTCATGCAACATTGTACCCATATGAAATTTTTTATCATTTTTTTTCACACAAATAGAGATTTCTTTTGGTGGTGTTTAATCGCCACTGGGTGTTTTATTTTGTGCGTTACAAACAAAAAAAAAGCAAAACATTTTTTAAAAAAGTTTTTCTTTGTTTCTATTATAAAATTTTACAAACGTAATTTTTCTCCTTCACTGATGTGCATTGATGAGGCTGCACTGATAGGCAGCACTGATGGACACTGATAGTCGATACTGATGGGGTAGCATGGATAGGGGGCACTAATGAGGTGGCACGGATAGGCAGCACTGATGGGCACTGATAGGCAGCACTGATAGGTGGCATTGATGATGCTGCACTGATATGCAGCGCTGATGGGCACTGATAGGCAGCACTGATGGGCAGCACTGATGGGTGGCACTGACTGATGGCACTGACTGGCAGCACTGCTGGGCACTAACTGGCAGCACTGCTGGGCACTGATGGGTGGTACTGCTGGGCAGCACTGACGGGTGGCACTGATGGGGGCACTGCTAGGCACAGGTGGATGGCACTGCTAGTCACAGGTGGGTGGCACTGCTGGGCACATGTGGGTGGTTCTGGTGGGTGGCCATGCTGGGCACTGATCATCAGTGCCCTGATGATCAGTG